AGATCAGGAAACAGTCATTGCCAGCCCATAGACGGTTCCTCAAATCCCTCCCAGTCATTAACCCTCAAGGTGACCACTGTCTTGACTTCTAATACCATAGGTTAGTGTTTGCTTTTTTGGAACTTCATGTAAATTGCACCATACTGTTTCTTCATGTGCTTTCACACATCTGGTTTCTTTTACCCCACCTTCATGTTTTTGAGATTCACCCCTGTTGCTGTGTGTGGCAAATGTTCCAGCTGATCTAACCACCAACACAACTTGGCACATAGCCACTTTTCTGATGAGAAGACTCTCCAATCATGGGAGGCCTATAAAGATTATATACAATCCTTTTCTGTGTGCTTTCTTTGGGTGGAAAGAGGAGGAGCCTTGGCCGACACATAACATATATATAGTTGTGCTAAAGCTGCATGGAGATGTCATTTGAGAGAACTTTATATTTTGGGTCTATTGCATTATCTTCACTTGCTAATGCTACTTAACTTGGGTCAGGGTTCTTACCTTTCTAAGACTCAGTTTTCTCATGGTATTAACAGCAATAAGACATCGGGTTTCAAAGTTAAATAATATCAACCACGTGAAGGGCTGCTGTCTCCACTTTTCCAAGAGATCAGAGGAGTAATAAGATCACACTTTCCTGCACAGACAGTAGGCCCAGCTTTTTAGGGCTCCTGAGGTCTATTACCAGCATGACCACTGATTTCCTAACCGCTACAACCTATTCCCATGTTTCCTAACTATGAACAGTCAGCTATTTGTGGCCAGACAGAGGTGTCTAATTACCCTCTCCTGTCACCCTTCTCTGGGTCTCTTCCCTTTCCCAATGCCAGTCTGCTAACACACACACACACACACACACACACACACACACACACACACACACAAACTTTTCTGCCGAGTTTGCATGAAAAAGCTTGAGGAAACTGGACTATGAAATGAAGTAGTAGATGAACTGAAGAATTATTAAAGCAGAAAAAAGAACAGATCCTTGTCTGAATACAAGAGTGTTGTTCAGTGGTTGGCACAGTGTGATCCTATTTTGATGATATGCATATGTGTGTGCACACATGTACATGAAAGCGTGTGCACAAGTAGTTAACAATGGGGATACCTGCTGGGGAAATATGAGAATTTGATTATTTCAAATTTTCTCTTCTAATTTTCTACAGTGCACCTGTATTCCATCTGTAACAATAAATGAGCTATTTGCAAAATGCATGAACACACGAAGGTTTACTATCTTCTTTTTGTGTGTTTTCTCCTATTCTACCTTCCCCGTAAGAACAGGATATTTTTCTTATCCCCATTTTGCAGATAAAGACATTTAGTCTTAGGGAATGTCAGTAATTTGCCTGAGGTCACTTGCTAAAGCAAGACACAGGACAAGAACCTGACCAGGTCTTCTGAGAAAATATTGTGCCAAGGGCTGTGTCGGGTAGATCAGAAAAGGGAAGAAGAGATGCAAGAAATGACAATGTTTAGGAAAGCAGTTACACAATCTTTTTTTTTTTTTTTTTTTTTTTGAGTTGGAGTCTCATTCTGTCACCCAGACTGGAGTGCGATGGCCGCTCCTGGTCACCGCAGCCTCAACCTGCTGGGCTCAGGCGATCCTTCCGCCTCAGCCTTCCACAGTTACACAATCTTAAATAGAAAAGGTCCAAGGCTAAGATGTAACTTTAAATGCAACATTTTCAGGAATACAAGCATTTTTTGGTGCTGAACTGAACCCTCTGTTTCATAAATCAAGATACAGTCTTGCAGGGATCTGGAGGGGACTATTTGCTCTAATAACTTGACCTCTGGCTTCTTAGTTTGTGCCTTAAGGTAAATGAGATAATTCTACCTCGTCTGTGTCCATCACACAGAGATGTTGCAAGGATTAATGAACAGTGTGCTTGGAGCTCCTTTGAGAAAAGAGCTATTTGAATGCCACATATTATTACTAGGTGAACATTTATTATAATTATCTGTCCATTTTATCTTCCTGTTTCTCAGGGTAAATGCAATACCTATCAGGCCTGCAGAAGGAGGAAATCTTCCTTTGCCACTCTTGTTTGAGTGAAAGAGAGAAAGAAGGGAGAAAGAGGAAGGAGATTGGCTCTCCCTGCTCCTTCACTCTGGAAATATTTGAAAACAAGGGCCAGTCACGTGACCACGTATGGTCCATTTGCTGGCTCTTACTGTCTTGAGACTTGCTTCTGTGGTTTTAGCATTGTTCCTTCTTGGGACCTTATGTAAGACAGGAACAGAACCAGCTTCGTGGGCATGTAGCCTGTGTGGTTTTATAGGTTCCCATACTTAGGACTGTCTTAAAGCACATAATAATTTTATCTTTGAACTTGTATATTGTAAGTGAAATCTGATGGGGCAATGGAGTGTGTGTCAGTGGCGTAGAGTCTTAGCTCGTGCACGGTTCCACTTCCTGCCGTCTACCTGTTTTTCCTGGACAGGGTCTTGAGGCCAGTCCTGAGCTATGTTGGCTATTGTCTTGGGTTGCATCCATAAGTAGCAGGCGTTTGATGCCCCCATACTTCACCCACCCTGACACCTGTGCCCCTGCCTCAGCAGCCACAATAAGAAAACTATAAAGTGAGACACAGAGGAAGTCTTGACTGTGGATTAAGAATTTAGAAAGTGACAATCCAACTGGCATAACAAACATAGCTTCGAAATGTAATCATTTTTGCTCAAAAACTATTATGGTTAACCTGAAAAAGAGAGGGCAAAGGTGTCAGGTCTTATCACCTCCACCGGCTGGTTACCAACACCTCATATTGTCCCAGCTCTCGAAGGACATGTGTGGTTGTTCTGTAGAACAAACAGCAAAGGCTCTGTCGTGGTAACACCTAATTGGTGCATTTTTGAAGTGTCTTTTTTTTTTTTTAATAACTCTGGTGGTACAATTTCTGTATGGATTTCCTTTGTCAAGCTTGAGTAGGCATCAGATCCCTTTTTTCCCCTTCATGAAGGAGAAATGTGAGAGATCACCTTACAGCCGTTTTGCATATGAGCCGGTTCAAAAGGCTCGGAACAAGTTGCTGACTCCTGGCAAATGTCTGGTCTTAGTTACAGAGAACCACAGGTTGTGATGTGGAAGAATCAAGGTAGTCAAGCCTGAGCAGCTGGGAAGTGGCTGGACTTTTTCTTTTATTAGAGGCAGGGAATGAGGTTGGGAGGGTCTATCTCTTCAGAAAAAGCTTCCTTGGAAGAAGTGCTATTCTGGAAGGAAACAGAGGAGGCCAGGGGGTGTTTTGGACATGCTATAGAGTGAGTGAGGAGAATCTTCGTGTTGAGGGTGGCAGCATCGCAAAACCAGAGGAAGACAGGAGGGAAGGTATGTGCAAGTCTGGCTTGATGTGAGTTTTATTTAAAATACCTCAATTCTAGTCTGCATATTTCAGAGGAGTGTGAAAAAAATGGAGGAAGTCACCTCCAGTGGTTTTGTGGCTTTTTAAGTATGACATACAGGATATTGAGTTTAACCCTTGTTTATCCTGGAGTGTATGAGTATTTGGGGGAGAAAACAAAACAGTTATTCTTTGAAATGTATATCTGTAACCAAGTGATTCCAGTCACTTGAAAACACACTTCTGTTTATCCTCTTTTCTGCTTCAAGTATTTGAGCACCATACACATAAGATTATTCAAATAATAATAATAAACTATGTGGTCTGACTAGAACTTCTCTATATAGGTATACAAAAATGTGCTATAAATCTGTTGTGAATGCTACGCTAGATTTCCATACAATGTCTTTGATTTTGTTAGTACTTATCGTGTGCTTGCATTTCAGAAAACTCGGTAGAGTTCATGCATGTTGTTTCTGTCAAAAAGAGTCGTGCTTTTTTACAAGCGTCTGCAGCATCATTACTTCACCTGGCATTTATAAAATTAATTTATAAACATGTTTACCAGCATGGATTTCTTAAGTCAATAACCCAAAGTGTTTGTTTAGACTCACAAACTTTTGGATATAGGATGGCATGTCGAGGATCTATAAAAAAGAGTTCGATTAGCAACTCACAAAATGTGATCTTGAAAACAATATATATATATCTTGTACGGCCCATCATGAAATGTTTTCAGAAGGTCTAGATTCTTAGAGCAGCAAATCAGAGCCTCCGGCTTTAATCAGAATGAAAATCTGCAGCACTCCCAGATGCTGGCTCCACCTGAAAGTCCGGTTCAGAATTTCCCTGTGACCCTGGCACTTGCAGAAGGGAAGTTTTAGCTTTGTTTAGTATAACAAGAGCTGCAGGGCTCCCAGGCCAATAAACGTGTTCACCGTAAAACTCCAGACAGTTTCTCTCAGACCGAAGTCTTATTGGAGAGACCTCATTTTGCCTCTAATTAAAGGAAAGATCCAGGAGGAGGAAGAAATAGCCTACGTCTCTTGCTTGTGCAGGTCGTGTTTGCTGAATTAACAGTCATCCCAACGTGATCACATTCCCCAGAATGAATGGCTGCCTGGCCTTTGAACATAGTGGCCAAGCAGTCCCCCTCCCCCCCCACTTTTCGACTGTCTGTTTCACTTCAAAGAAAAGCAAAATGAGGAAAAGCTTTCCTCATCTCTCCCCGAGACTGCAAACACTCAGAAATGACATCACGCACCCTACAGAATCCTGGGATGACTAAAGCAGAGGGAGCCTGAGAAAACTCTGGGCTGCCCCTGCCTCCAGTTGTAGGACACACTTATGCAGATGAGCTCGTAAGAGCGGCTCCCCGCCTCCTTCCTCAGAGGAAGTTTCTTGGCTGATCACTGACACCTCATGCAGGCAGGGGGCTGAAAACTTGGCACCAGCCCCCCCAGGCAGAGCACCGCGGTGATTTGTTCTCCGGGTGGAGAGAGCTGGAAGGAAGGAGTCGCCTGCAAATAATGAAGGAGCACCACGGGGGTACCTTCAGAGGCCCCGGGATCAGCGGTGACAGTGGCGACTCTGCCATGGATAGCCTGCAGCCGCTCCAGCCTGACTACATGTCTGTGTGTTTGTTTGCAGAAGAGTCGTATCAGAAATTAGCGATGGAAACGCTGGAGGAATTAGACTGGTGCTTAGACCAGCTAGAGACCATCCAGACCTACCGCTCTGTCAGTGAGATGGCCTCTAACAAGGTAAGAGATGCCCGTTTTATTCCCTCAAGTGGGACCACGCGGAGAGCTCGGCCTCCCTCGCCCCTGCCTCGAGGGTGCACCGGGGAACGCAACCAACCCTCACGATGTGTGTGCTGGTCTGTCTCAGGAGATTCTGTTCTGGTGTCACACTTTGCTTGTGCCTTGATGCCATGGTAAAAGTTTCAAATCTCCAGTAAGCTTTAATCCCCAGAAACCAAACTTCTCTCTCACTGATGCAGTTGAAGATGTGTTTAAGGCGAGCGGTGTCTATAAAGCTTCCAAAGACTATACCATTGAAAATGCCTTTGTTTTATAATTATCCGGGAACTAAAATCTGAATGAGTCCAGAAGGTAAAATGTATAACGTGTTGCATTGCAGCCAAGTGTTATAAATATATCTTTAAACAAGAAAATAATGTGACTTCTGCATATCAATGAGAGAAAATGATTTGCCTTCAAGTGTGACAAATTCCTTCCAAGAAGAAGGACATCCTGGGATTTTGTAACTTTTCTTTTGTGATGCTGGCATGATCTAAGATAAAAAAGACATGAAAGTTTATCTCCAAAAACAGAAAGTTGTTTTTTTTTAGTTGGCTGATTTTCAAAATGGAATCATTTGAAATTAAGTTTCATCCCTACTGCAAAAAAGTGGCTTTATTTACAATCCCCAGACAAAACTTAGTGTTGAAGAGCTTTAATTATCTATCATTATATCATTTGTCTAACTAACACCTGGATTTAGAATGCTAATTTATATAGCGAGAGTGGTTGCATTGTGTTTGTATTTTTACTTCGGAGAATAGTGTGTGTGTGTGTGTGTGTGTGTGTGTGTGTGTAGTTATAAAGTTATACAAAGTTATATATGCACACACATGCGTACACACACTTTGGAAAGCCTTACACTGCACCCTCAGAAGTGCACATTTTCGGAGTCCCAGTCATTCTAGCCTGAGGGATTATAGTATTGTCTGTGTTTCTGGGGCCAGGAAGAGATTTTGCTCCACACCTGCCAACATACTCTGGATTTTCAGCTCTGAGGTGTGCCAGCGAGTGTGTGTCTCTTCTCCATCTTTCCTGGGGTAAAACAATCACCTTTGGACCAAGGCTTGCTGGCTGTCGCTCAAGCTCAAAGGCTTTGCGCAGAGGAAGCCTTGTGTCCTCAGGAGATCCTGAGGGAGGGGAGGGGAGGACGCTGCCTGCTAGGGACTTTTTGTTTATTGGTGAACGAAAGGGTAAAAATAAGTTCCTCTCTAAAGTTTTCATTTAGAGTTCAAGTTGGAAAAAAAAGAAAGGAATACGTTTGAGCTTTAACTATTTACTGACTTTTCTCTGAAGCTCTCAAATGAAGGTTGAATTTGGGGATTTTCCAGGCTGGGGTAAAACTCAACCCACTGCTTCCCCTTGAGGAGGGCTTCATTGTGTCACTTCTCCAAATCACACCGGTGTTCCACGTAGGAGGAGTTTCACACAGGCTTCAGCCTGCCTGGGAGCACTGGCAGATACTCTGTTCTCTGCGTTTTGTGATAACAGATAGATGTGTAAAATGTAGGTCCGATATTTAGTTTTTCAACAGGTTTCTCCCTTAGAGGACATGCAAACTTCTAGAGTCATCCAAATAAGCTAGAGTCACCAAGATAGACAAAGTAGGCAGCTAACTCCAGGAGGAGAAAAAAAAATAAACTCCCCTAAAAACTACAAATTGCCTTTTTTTTTCATTTTGACTGTGGATATGCTAAAGTATTCTGACCCTATTTGTGTCTGGAATGCTGAACTTTTGAGACGTGGACTGTCTTGCCAATGTATTAACAATAATTTCATATTTGGCATAGTAGCTAACAAGGCTCTGAGATCAGAGGCTGTGTAGGTCCTGGTGAGAATTCCAGTCCCTAGGGCTTCCGCTCCTCCTTGATGGTGTCTTGTGCAGGAAGCAATGAAAGTTGAATAGAGCTAACCCTAACAAAAGGGCTAACCCTCAGCGCTGACACAGTTAGCTTAAGTAGAAGGCATGAGGCCTCACCCTTTTTCTAGACCTACAGTGGAAAAGTTGGGTAAAGCAATTATCCTTTAGGATGAATGATGCCCGGCTGACAGCTAAAAGCAATTTCAATGTTTAAAAAGACCTCTTTTTTTACTTAGCTACCTTTGAAAACAAAAGGATCTTGATTAATTATCTCAGGTAAAGCTTAAGCATAGCACCAACCCTGGCGCATATAACATAACTTAGTGAGAACATTTCTGTGGCTACCCCAAAGAAATTGATCTACATCAGTCCTTTGGGAACTGGTTTTTCCATGGCAAAATAATATTCCACATTTAATTTAAAATGCTGTTGGAATTATTTGAGATTTCCATTCAAGTTGACATTTTAAAATATCATCATCATCACTGTCATCACTATGTGGTCTTATTTGGTCATATTTTGCTTGCCCTTGCTAACCTGCAGAGCCAGGGCAAGTCTCTGATTTGCACACCTGGAAGTGAGAATGAAGACATTAGTAGAGGGAGAATACTTATCAACAGCATCCTCTACAGTTTTGCAAAAACTCTGTGTTCCTAGTTTTGTTTTAGCTAAGTGTCCTGTAAGTTTTGTGGGCAGTATCTGACCTTCCTTAAAAATGGTGATGGAAGAGAGAGTGTTATGCTCAGGGAGTATATGTGAATTGCGCAGGTGTTATCTGCACACAGCTGGTAGAGGGTTGACTGTGTCTGGGGGAGAAAAAGCAAGCAACCCTTCATCTTTACTTCATCTGGATAGGGTTGTGCTTTTTGGGTTTGTTCGTTTGCTTGTTTTTCTTAACCCTTCTACATTTTGAAGAAAGCTGAGTGACTCAACAATCGCAGCTGACTTTCCCAAATGTACATCAGAGCCCAGGGGGTTAGATAAGAAACTGTTTCTGTGACTTACAAGCACATAGTCTTCTCTTTGGCCCAGCTTTCCTTGATCCCTTAATTGTGGCCATGAGTAGTCCAGAATTTTAGAGAAAGATGCAGCCAGGTGGGCTAGTATTGCAAATTATTTCCCTTCGAGAATTATAAGGAGATGGCATAGGTTCAGGAGGAGTTTTGCATGGTGATGGCATTGTTTTCCAAGATGAAAAGGATGTCTAGTGACCCTTCTGCCAGCTGCCCAAGTTTGGCTCGATGTGTTGGAGCTGTTTTGCTTAACGACAGATTGCCTTGATAGATTTGTTCGTTAATTTTTGTATTTCAATTTTCATCGCCTCCTGAATTAGAAGAATTGTCTTACACTTCAGCGAAATGCAGCAGAGCATGAGTTTCTCCGTGGCAAAACAGTCAGATGTTTTGAAAACAGGATGCTTTGGCTCTGCATTATAAAAAGAGGAACGGAAAGAGAAACAGTATAGAAAGGAAGAAAGCAAATAGCCTCAGCAGGCTCCCCAGCCCAACTGCGGCATAAACAGTGACCTATCTTCCTGACCTTCACTATGGCTCAGTTCCTGACCTCATGTCACCAAAGCCAACCGACGTCATTGGAGGAGGATAGGAGGAATGGCGCAGCTGCTGTGAGGGTGACTAGAATTTCCTGTCTCCTTCCTGACAGACGCAGGCAGAAAAGTACAGGGTTGCAACAACAGTGGCTTGAGGAAGGACCAACCCAGAACAATCCCAGGGATGCGTAGTTGTGACCGACTGACGGGGAACAGGGAGGTGTTCCTTCCCCCGCTTTACTGAGAAGCATAGTCTCTCACCCAGAATTTTCAGGTGAAAAACGTCAACAGGGTCATTCTTACCCAGCATGCTGATTGATTTTCAAAAGATGAACACGCTGTGGCCTTCAGTAAGAAGCTGTGTTCAGGCCACCAGGCACTGTCTTCACTTCCCCCCAACATCCTCCCCAATCCTTTCTATGATCGATTGGCTTTGCTCCGGGACTGTTTCACCAGCAGTCAGAGGTTGGGCCCTGCTGGTGAAAATGCTGTTGAAAAAAGCGGCCCTGTACATTAGTAACTTTCTTTAGAATGAAGCGTGAGGACCTAGTGCTTAGGTAAACATTTGCTAAGGAAACCCTTATGGTAAGGATGAGAGATAGGAGGACTTTTTTCTCCTGAAGCAGCTGCAGGTACAGGAAGTGAGTCCTCTTGGCTATAAAGGCTTATTTTTCCAGTTCTTCAGGTGCAGCCATACTGGAGGGCTGAACCCCAAACATAAAAGCAACTAATTGCCTGTGCATTGGGGAGGGAGAGAATAAAGTTACACAATTCTACCAGCCTGCAGCCAACTGGGAACCAGGCCACATGACACTCCGAAGGAGATCATGACAATGCCCATTCCACTATCTACTGGCAATCATGGTTGCCTTAATGTTGGGCGAGCCATTTTTCTATTCAACTGAATAATCAGTAACTGAAAAATGCTGGCCCCTGCAGAACTGAAAGGAATAAACCTCACTGGACAACGGATTCATCTAAGAACGCTGTCAGGAAGATGGCAGGCTGGTCACCAATCCCCAAAAGGAATTCAGGTCACTTTTGCCCCAAATTCAATGCTATGAGTTAGAGCAGTGCCACCTTTAGGCAAGAAGGATCCTTTCCCTGGGCCCTGTGTTTTAAGAGAGCCTCAGCCTGGTCTTCCTCTGGCTGCCTCAGCTCCATGGAGTGAGGAGTTTGCCTAGCCAAAGGAGCAACCCTGCTCCCCTCTCTTGACCACACTTTGCATTGGCTGGACTCCCACAGACTCTATCCAAATGGCTTTAAATCCACATCTGGTGCTTGTATGGCCTCCTCCCTGGATGTGCTGCAGGACTGCACACCCTAAGGTATAAGGAGTAGCCACGAGGCAGCAACTGGGAGTGGGAGGAGAACTGGGTGGGAGGAGCCCAGGCATGTGGGCTATGGCGGAGGCTCACCCTGGCTGCCCACAGGTCTCTGGAGATGCAAGGGTATGGGGAAAGGAGAGCACTGGGCGTGGTCTAAGAGCTCGGTCTCTCTCCGTCGCCATATCTGAGGAGTTCAAGAATTCTGAATTAACTTATTTTCAAA